AGCATCTGTAACCCGAGGTACCACTGTACCTTATTCCACAATCTGGAAAAAAAAGATGTAGAAGTGAATAAGCTGAGAGAGGAGAACCATCTTCTCCTACAGGTCTGGTAACTTCTGTTGTCCTATGTTAACAGTCCTGTGCAGCACCTTTAAGACTTATCCATTCAATCCTGTACATACTTATCAGGGAGCAATCCCCATGGGATTCAGTGGAGATTACTTAGTTTATTTGGCATGAACTCACACTAGAAATTGTGACAGTAGGGCCCCCTTCTGAAACATGGTAAGAAGATATTTAAGTGCTAAATTTTTAATAAAACCGCAGTGTTTAAGGCCCAACTCCCTCCCCCCACCACCAAGGAAGAGGACAGGAAGAAAACCAGAACTGGTGGGATCTACACAAATTTTCTCCCAGCAGAGAAGCAACTGCAACAACAGGCGTCCTTTCTGAATCAAAGTAAGATGCTTTTCAGTTTACTTAAGTAAAACTGTGATGCTCCAGTGTCCACTATAGGGAGGACAATGGGGAGAAAACTAGAACAGCTTGGCCACCACCCCACTGAGACTTCCTGGCAGTCACACTAGATCTATTGGGCACCAGCTGCCACTGGGGTAGACCACTGTGCTCAATTTTCTGGCAGTTTAAAGAATGCTACTGTTTGAGTCTAGCTTCCTCTGTTGCTGCTGGTCATCCCATACTGTGTAGCAGTCAGTTGCATGCATTAATTTTCATCTCATTGCCCTGGAGCCACAGGAAGACATTAATAGAGCAGCACAGGACCCAGGAAGGGGAACAACAAGGGACGTGATGTAGAAAAAGTTGAGATAATTTCAAGAGCAAACAAAAGGATGGCGAGGGCCAGGATTTAATCCATTGCATCATTCAGCTCCTCAACTTTGGAATATCATGTGGGAGCTCCTGAGCTTCACAGATATGCTCAGGCTCCACGTGTGGCAGGAAGATTAGGCATCCCTAAATGCTTCGCTGGTTACCCATGAGCCTTACAGAATTGTAGATTTGGAAGGGACTCTGAGGGTCATCTAGTCCAACCCCCTGTGATGCATTTTGGGCATGGCATTGTCCCTTGGTAGACAAGCAGTGTTTGATTTTGGTGCTTTTTCATTTTGATGCTTTGAAATAGGACTAAAATGTGACCTTGAAGAGTGCAGGATAGTGGTGGCTGAAGGGTGGGGGTGAGAAGGAGGCTACACCAATCAAACACTTCCATTCTTTGTTTCAAAGGGTGAGAACTTTGGTATAAATATTTAACAGGATTGAATGGAAGAGTACAAGAGTGAAAAACTAGAGTAGCACTAGTAAACAAAATAACAACCTGTGTCTTAGAACACTTTCAGGTGCCCTTTAGTGCCAAAGCCTCCTCATTGCCTGCCGCAACCTCTGACCATGCTGTAGCCTTTTGGTTGGACCGATGGCAGCATCAACAACTGATGGTGTAGGAGGGAAAGGTCATGAGCTGGGACACTTATGTGAGACTCTCTGGTCTGGAAGATGCTGGCCTTGACTCTTCTGCAGGGAAACAGCTGCAATCATCCAGATGCCGCTAGAGAGAAGGGCACAAGTGGCCCTTGTTCTGCAGGAACGTGCTGGGAAGTCCTTTTTCTGCCAAGGGCATTCAATGTATTTTGCCCTCCTCTTTTGAAGGCAGCCAAGAACAGCTTGCAGGATCTCACAGAGGCCCTCTAATGGCATCCTGGAGGCACTCTCCCGGCGGGGGATCCTTGCAACCTGCAGGAGCTTTGCCACAAGTTCAGCAAGCACCTGGTAAGAACCATTTCTCCTCTGGGCATTCCTTCTCCAGCAGAGAGACAAGAAGGTGGAGCACAGTTGGCACACCATGAGCAGACTGTCTGTACATGGCATTTGACTTTGTCTGTTATCTTTGATTAGGCACCAGAGCTCAGTGAGGGGATTGGACGCCTTTGCTTATGACGTCCTTTCCCACTTCCACAGCAGGCAGGCTTCGGTGAGGAGCGCTACTGCCATGCTCGTCGCTAACTGAACTTTTGGGTTCCCCTCAGTGGATACCCAACAGGCAAGATCTCCCTTCGTAGCTTCATGGTTTGTCCTGAAGATGTATACAGTGGTACAGATGCTTCAGGTTACAGAAACTTCAGGTTACGGACACTGCTAACCCAGAAATAGTACCTCGGTTTAAGAACTTTGCTTCAGAATGAGAACAGAAATCGTGTGGCGGCAGCGGGAGGCCCCATTAGCTAAAGTGGTGCTTCAGGTTAAGAAGAGTTTCAGGTTAAGAACGGACCTCCAGAATGAATTAAGTTCTTAACCCAAGGTACCACTGTAATTGGACGCGGGTGGCGCTGTGGGTAAAAGCCCTCAGCGCCTAGGGCTTGCCGATCAAAAGGTCGGCGGTTTGAATCCCCGCGGCGGGGTGCGCTCCCGTTGCTCGGTCCCAGCGCCTGCCAACTAGCAGTTCGAAAGCACCTCCGGGTGCAAGTAGATAAATAGGGACCGCTTACTGGCGGAAGGTAAACGGCGTTTCCGTGTGCTGCACTGGCTCGCCAGAAGCGGCTTTGTCACGCTGGCCACGTGACCCGGAAGTGTCTCCGGACAGCACTGGCCCCCGGCCTCTTAAGTGAGATGGGCGCACAACCCTAGAGTCTGTCAAGACTGGCCCGTACGGGCAGGGGTACCTTTACCTTTTACCACTGTAATTGCAGGCAGATGTGTACCTATGGGTTGATCAGATTGGCCCCTGCCAAAGGTGCAGGCGGGGGGAGGGGGCAAAAATTGCACCTCTCAGTGCCACACCAGAGGAATCCAGGCGCTGGTGCTGGCCATCACAGCAGCCCTGCGAAGCCCCCTTCCCAGTCTGCCGGCAGCAGTGCTCCCTGTGAGGACACTGCTGCTTGGCCCTGTGTCCTCCTAGCATAGCCACTTCTCCTTGTCCTCCTGCAGGCAACACTCTTAATTTACCACAGCCGAGTCATTTTTCCTTGGTTTCTTTCCCACCTTGACCAATTTCCAGTACACGCTGCTGTATATTTACCCCAGAGGTTTACTCCATATTTACCCCAGAGAGCAAGGACCATTGACTTAAGCAAGGCTTACTTCCAAGTAAAGCACAACTTTTCTGCCAGCACCTTGTTGGAAGTAATGAAAAGGCAAATGAGGTATTGTCAGAGGTTCCTGCCTCTAGCATGGCAGATTTAGGCTGCAGTCCTGTGTACCCACTTTCCTGGGAGCAAGCCCCATTGAACTCAGTGGGATTTACTTTTCAGTAGACATAAGAATTGTGCTGTTAAATGCTCAGTTTAAGTGTCATTTGTAATTGCTGAATTACATCATGGTGTTTTTTCCCCTGGAGATTGGGGTGGGGGCAAAGGACATCTCTTTGGCAAGGGGCAAGGGATGGGGAGATAGGGAAATGGTTTCGCCTGGAGAGAGCTAAAGTAAAATTCCTTAGGGATCCCATAAAGGGGAGGGAGATATCACTCTTGCCGTTAGACCAAACAGACCACTTGCAGGTGGCTATTGAAATCTGGCAGGCGTCTCAGTGACCTGGGCCCTGCAGTGAACTCAGCTGGGAGTGAAGTTTGGAACTGCGGTGGAAAGTGGGAGCAACAGCAACTATGCTGACACTGTTCACTGATTCATTCAGGTGCACTGGGATCCTAGCTGACATTGGAATAATGGAGATGGAATGTTTAAAGAAAAAGAAGAGGAAGAACAGCTTGTCATGAGAATCACATCCACGTCCCCTTTTCTTGATATATGCCTATATATATAACATTATTACAATTACAGTGGTACCTCGGGTTAAGTACTTAATTTGTTCTGGAGGTCTGTTCTTAACCTGAAACTGTTCTTAACCTGAAGCACCACTTTAGCTAATGGGGCCTCCCGCTGCTGCCGCACCGCCGGAGCACGATTTCTGTTCTCATCCTGAAGCAAAGTTCTTAACCTGAGGTACTATTCCTGGATTAGCGGAGTCTGTAACCTGAAGAGTCTGTAACCTGAAGCGTATGTAACCCGAGGTACCATTGTAGTTATTTCTAAGAAATCCATCAGCTTTCCAACACAGTTTTAAAATTTAAAATTGGACAATTTGTTCACACATTGTAGCTTAAAAAAAAAAAAGCTTTAGCAGTCTTGGTGACATAAAAAGCTTAAAAAACCCCAGTCAGAATGGGTTGTCATCTGAGAATGCAATCCAGAAACACCTTTAGAAAACAATGAAGTTTTGTCACCTTACACGATGCGGATTTCTGGTCTGGCCCAAGGACTATATAGATGCAGGGGTGCCAGCTTGGCTCCCCAACTGTGGGTGCCCAGCACGCTTGCCGCAACATCATGATGAGATGCCATTTTGTTGTGGCGCGTGTGTGCCATAAAAGAAATTGGGGCTGCACAGGCCTAGTTTCTTTCATGGCACATTTTCCCTGGGGGCCCCACTGCCTTACCATGACACTGCATCTGCCAAGGGGCCTCAGAGGCCCCACGGTGGAAGCCCATCCCCCGGGGATGCACAGGTGGGGGGTGCGTGGCATGTAGCAGGGGAGTGGCAGTGGCACACAGTGTGGGTGGGATGTCGGGGCTGGGCACCCACAACCAAAAAAATTGTGGGTGTCTGCCCCCCCAACATGGCACTACTGTATAGATTGATATTGCTGGTTGATGGGGCTGGAAAGGAATCTTACCATCTTCGCACTTGGCTTAAGCAATATGGATTGTTTGCCTTCCCTACAGCAATGGATTGTTCTATGGCACCCATGTAAACCCTTTAAGCAATAAAGCTTTTAAAAACTAAACTTCTCTCTTAGTGAAACCCCCCACCCCCATGTGTTTCTAAGGACTTTCATGGATGTTGTTTCACTTGCCTCCTGATCTAGCAGGCAGGGCTTCCATGTCCTCCTGCAGCGCTCTTTGCCGCTTTGCATGGTTAGCAAAAGCAATGGGCTGGTGGGCTGGGGCCAAAATCCATCACGTTATTTAATGTTCATGCAAGGGATGCTTTGCATAGCCAGAAAATATGATTTAATGTCCACTAATAAGCCCATCACATCTTTGAGGATTAAATTTCTGAAGGATTGAAATGGCCAGCTCAGGTTAACTATGATCTCTTAATTAAAAAACAAATTAAAAATCCAACTGCCATCAACTCACAGAAACAGGGTGTGAAGGAGCAGAGATGGGGAACCACATATATACTGAGTGATCTGTGGTTCACAATTAAGTATGGATGTGTGTGGGGGGGGTCCCCTAGCCTGCTTTTGGTAGACCTTTGATCCTTTGGCACCTGAGTCCACAATGTGAACCCTGCAGCTCCTCAGACCATAATGCTAAAGTCAGCATGCGACCAGCAATCCCTGGTTGAATTCAGTGTCATCTCCCTAAATGCAGAATGCAGCAGTGGGGAGCCCGAGGTATCCAGGCTCAGGGGCAATTAAAACCTTGATTCCCCCAGGTTGCCTCCCCAGTGACCAGAAGCAGAAGACACCTGCGAACACCTGTGTGCCTTATTCTGAGTCACACTGCTGGCTCATTCAGGGCAGCACTCTCGACTTCTGATGAGCAACAGCTCCCCAAGGCCCACAAGGAAGGCCTTTCCAAGCTCTGGTGCCCAACATCCCTTTATATCTGGGGACTGACATGGGGCCTTCTAGAGATCAACCATGTAGGGTAGAGCTATACAGTGATGGTCTTGTATAAAAAAGATTTTGGCAAGTGCTATTTGTCATGCCAGAGACCTGCAGGGTGAGAAAAGATACCCCTTCAACATTCCCTCTTCATATACAGTACAAATGTGAATAGTACAGGAATCCCCACTCCCTATTGCCACTGGTCACTTCATATCATGTGTTAGTTAAGTTCCACAAGTTAATTATGCTGCTGAAATGGAAACCGTGGCCAGGGATGGGGGGGGTGTTTGCTGTTTCTGTGCTCTATTGGCCACCACTGGAAACGCTGAACTAGATGGACCTTTGGCCTTGTCCAGCAGGACACGTGTTGAACCATTTATTTAGAATTTTTACTGTTTTGCACAATTTGTTCTGCTTCTGCCAGTCCCAGGAGGGGCAAAGAGTTCTACAGGTTACTGAAACCCCTGCCTCTTGACTAGATTTCCTCCCTCCCCATTTTTTTTCCTTTTGTGCCATATCTTTTAGACTGCCAGGGCTCATCCACACTTCCACTTACCCCATCACTTTCTCCCGGCATAACCCGCTGTATTGGTGCAAACATCAATTGGGTTTTCTCCAGATTGATGTTTGTTTCAAATTTAGCACTAAAGAACAGGTTTTCCAGGGGAAAGGAGGCGGACAAAAGCAAAACTGTTCAGACCTGTGCTTTCTAGGCACAGGGGAAGCAGAAGTGTGGACTACCCTTCAGTCTATGGGAAAGAACCATCTTGTCTGTATTGATACTTGGGATTCATTAATTTACTTGGCTCATTTTGTGGATAAAAATTCTTTAAATACACATAAATATCTGAACACCTTCCACAACTGTTTCCTGGCTTTTGAAATTTCAGCAAATGTTGCCAAACTATTTCCAAGCTATGTTTACAACATGTTGCTGGAAATGAAAGGAATGAGGAAGCGGGAGAGAGAGAGAGAGAGAGAGAGAGAATATAATGGAAACTTTGATTCTGCAGCCCAAACTCTGCCATTTTTCTGCCCTTCATGGGATGGTGGCATACAAAGATATGTTCTTAGGGTCACGGTTAAATACAGACAGGCGTTCCAGAGGTTGCATGCACCACTACAGCTGGTTGAAGGGGACCAAATCCATTTGCCAGTCGATCTGGTTCCTTTTTACCAGCACCAGGGGCACAAAAGCATACAGGCAAGCACTCACTCCCTTCCCTTCTCTAGCAGCTGCTCTGTGTGGCGTATTCAGAGTTGTTTGCTGCTTCCGGGAAATTGCAGGCCGAGAGCCGATGAGGAGAGGTCATTCCAGGCAGGGATCCCATCCCAATGATACATACTTCTTAACATTCCATAATGCCAGCCGACTCCATATGGGCATATGAAGAAGTATGTAGGCTCAGGAGGGAGCAAAAGAGGGAGCAGGCAGCTTCATCTCCTGCCTTGTGCCACGCAGGGGAACCCAGCAAGATCCCTGCAAAATAAGAAAAACCTGTTAGTGGAGGTCAGAGAAACTCATGGGCGTGGCCAGCCCTTACATTGGGCAGAGTGAGGCAGATGCCTTAAGCATCCACCGCTATGAAGGTAGAAAGTTGTGGCAAGCTGTGGGAGGACAATGCAAGCCTGGCCCCCTAAGCTAGCCTATGGCTCTCAGGTGCTGCGGAAGATGCTGTGCTGTTGCCAGTGCTGGAGGGCCAATCTGGTTGGTTTCTGTGTGTGGAATGTAGGGGGCCCATCTTGTATTTTGCCTCCAGATGACCTGTTTGTTGAGCATTCATCCTGATTTGCTCACACAAAAGTTATGCAGAGACTTTATAATTTTTATAATTTTTTAAAAAAACAAAATGTAAGCTCAGAGTGACTCGCAATATAATAAAAAATAATAAAACTAATACAAAATTAAACCTACACGCACACACACACCCCTACCTAAAAGGTGGCCTAACACATCCCACCTACTAAAGGAGCCCATTCATTCTTATTTGCTTGTGGAGTTGTACAACCACAAGCATTTATCCTGATTTCATCCTGATTTGCTTCTGCGCCTTTTATACATCTTCCTGTTATTCAATCATCTATCCCACACTTTAAAAAATGCACTTCCCTGTGACTTTCCTAACCACAAAAGGCCTGCTGTTTATTTTTAAGTGGATTTGTTGCACCAGAGTGCTTTAATCCACTTTTAATTGCATGAAGCTACATCTCCAGGAATCAGAATTGAATCCCTCCTGCAAAATACTGACAGAGTCTGGATGCAACTTCAGGCAGCAAAATGTCTTACGCCAGCCTAGCACATAGAGTGGTGGATGGTTTGTGTTGGGACTGGTAGGGTGTAAGGTGGGGAGACCAGCAGCAGGGGGAGCCAGAGCCAGTGACAGGCAGAGCTGAGTTCTACAAGGGCAACACCGAGATTAAGGAGAAGGAAGAAGCTGGCAGCCAAGGCCACCCTCTGGACTGCTTATAAGTAAGAAGGCGGGCAAGTGGAGGCTGGCTTAGGGTAGACTAGGGTGTGACACAGTGCCCCACCCACCCAAAGGGACCAGCCTCCGTGGGGTGTTTTACCAACATCCATTGGCAAAGTTGGCTTTAAAAAACCTCCTGGTCAAAGGCAGTATGCCTCTCTGTGTGCCAAATGCTGCATGCAAACAAGAGGAGATGGTCTTCATATTTGTGCCCCCCTCACGAGCTTCTTGGGGCATCCAATTTTATCATCATAACAACCCTGTGAGGTAGGTGAGACTGAGAGACAGGCCTGATCTACACACAGCGGCATAAAGTGGTAGGGTGCAGAAGTGGTGGAGAGGGATGCTTGTATTGCTGTCCCATGTACCAGAAAAAAGCTAGCACACCAGGGTTGATCTCAAGCATGTGGATGAGTGCAATTTTCTCTTTAATATACACATTTTTATTTGCAGTTTTGCCTTTTATACACGGTTTTGCAAAACAATTCCCCCATATGTATGCTATTTGCACTTTTGTATGCATTTTAATACACACGTCCCTCTAGTATATGCATTCTACGACACGTTACTTCGCTGGAGAACTGCGCTGGAAAATTCAAGGAAGTGTTAATTTCAAAGGGTGGATGTGTTTTGGTTTGCATATTGTTTCGGAAAGTGCCAGTTAGGTTTGCCCAAACCTAGCAAACACAAAGGAGCTCTGGAGTCTAGCTTTGCAGCAGCTCCAAAAAGCTGCCCTCATCTTCCCACTTGCCTGCAGAGAAGGTGCTCTTGCCAGCTTCACACTCTCAAGGGGGCTGAGATGAGAATTTGTCACTTTTCATGTTGTGATTTTGGAGGGTTGGGATCCAGACTGCCTATTTAAGGTAAAGGACCCCTGGATGGTTAAGTCCAGTTGAATTCAGGCCGAAGGAGCCGGCATTTGTCTGCAGACAGCTTTCTGGGTTATGTGGCCGGCAAGGCTAAACTGCTTCTGGCGCACGCAGCACTGCTAGGTAGAAATAAACTTTACTCAGAAGTCCCAGAGAATCTAGAATGGAAGCTGGATTGGGTTTAGACAAATCTGCAGAAGGCAGATCTCTCAGAGGCTTTTCATCGTGGCAGCTAAGCAGAACCTCCGTGGACAAAAGGGGTCTATTGAGTATCAGGTGCTGGGGACAACCTTCTGTACCCTGCTTTGGCGCTTTCCAAAGGTGCCTGGCTCTTTGTTGTCAGATAAGAAGGGCTGTGGGTTTTTCCCAGCGAGATTATTTTTATGAGATGTTGTTGGCTGCATTCCTGAGATGCTGGCCCACTCTACTGCCTCTGCCTCTGGGATCATATGAACCCTCCCACAAACATAGCAGGAACTGGGTCAAAATCCCCTCCCTGCACTGTGATTTGTTCCTTGGGTGCAGAACCTAGGGGCAGACCAATCTGTCAGTTTTGGTTCTTTTCAGTTCCTCCTTTTTCCCATTTAAAGTCCAGTTCACACCATTTCCACATCAGTTTGCATTTTTTTTAATCACGGAAAAATTCCTATGCACCTTCCTGTTCATTTCTCCCAATATATGAATTATTCTATGCAACTTTGCACACATTTCTGCAATCAATTTCCCCTGATAGAATGCATTCCTGCACATTGTTTTCACTAACTTACATGCATTTTGCTATACTTTTTTGGGGGGGATTGGAGAACTGCATTGCAGAATTTGTAGCTGCATGAGTTTCAAAGGACAGCTGCTTTTCACTTTGTGTATTGGCTTGGAAATGATTAAGGGTGATTGGAAATGACTGGAAATGATTAAGACAAGTATGCACAAGCCCTACAACAGCCCAAATGAGTCCCCACTAGCTCTTGAATCCAAACCGGAAAACAGGGTGCGGGATCTCAGACATAGGGACCAAATACGGCCTTCCACTCCTGTCTATCTGGCCCTTGGGATGCTTTCCAGGCAACACCTCCTCCTCAGCCACAGCACCTCTCACCCATGCTGGATTAGGCCCATGGCAGGTCAAGAGCCACTATGTACAGGGTTTCAGCCTGACCTAAGGTGGGCGGCAGCGGCAGCATAACTGCATTGCACTCTATGTGGGGCCTCCTTTGCTCTTGGTCCAGAAATTGCAGTTATTGCACAAAGCTGCAGCATGACCGCCAACAGGAGTAAGATCCTATCAGCATATTGCACCCCTGCTCGGAGATCTGCACTGGCTGTTGATTTGTTACCAGGCTAGATTGAATGGGTTCCTATCAATATATAAAGCCCATAATAGCTTGGGAACAATCACCTCACCCCATATCTACTCACTTGACTGCTGCGGTTTCAGGAACTGGCACTTCTACTAGTGCCACATAATGCTTGTTCAGCACATTTAATCAAACTTATACTCTGGAACTTGCTGCCTATTGAAATTAGACAGATCCCTTTGCTTTTGGTGCCTGCTGAAACCCTTTTGTGTTTAGGCAAGCCTACTTAGACATGTAACGCTATTGTGTATGTTTGCATTTAAAATCTGTTGGTTTTTCATTATTTTGACAATTTTATTACATCTATCAAACCTGTTTTTACTGCTATTTTAATGATTTTAAAAAACTTTTTACACAAACTACTTAGAGATATTATTTTGATTAAGCGATATATAATCTTGGCATGCGCGCACATTCACGCTCACGCGCGCGCGCACACACACGCACACACACACACACAGTATATATTATGAAGTGGGTCCCTCAGGTTCAATATGGGTCCTGGGTGTGGAAACACAGAGGACTATGTCTTAACACCCTGATCCTTACAGCGGCCAACCAGTTGCCTCTGGAAAGCTCAGAAGCAGGACATGAAATCAATTGTCCTCCCCAGCAATTATGGGGACGCGGGTGGCGCTGTGGGTAAAACCTCAGCGCCTAGGGCTTGCCGATCGCATGGTCGGCGGTTCGAATCCCCGCGATGGGGTAAGCTCCCGTGTTTCGGTCCCAGCTCCTGCCCACCTAGCAGTGGGTACTCTCTAGCAGCTTTCAATAGTGTATGACCTCTAATCATGGAGGTTCTCAATAACTAGGGACACATCAACTTGTTTCTGATTCATATCAGTTTCCACACACTTTCATTCATAAGTCTCTTATGCCCATATCTGAATCATTCTGTGAAGCATAACTATTCTGATCCAGGAACTGCAAATCGTCCTGGTTTTCTTAAAAGTATGGAAATGAAATTCTCAATCATCTCAACATATAACCATCATGACCAGTAGGCATGGATAGACTTCTCATCTAATCCCCCTTTAAAGTAACCTAATTGGGTGGCCACCACTGGCTCGTGTGTCAGTGATTTCTGCAAGCCAACTGTGTATTGTGTAAAGAAGGCCTCCTCTTTCTCTGAGTCTCCTCTTATCTGGTTTCACTGAATTGTCCCAGTGAGGAAGAACCTATTTTTGTGCATTTTCTCCACACCAAGAACAGTTTAATACACCTCTATCTTGCCCTCCCTCTTTGTAGACTGCTTACACTCCAGACATTTAAAGCACATACACCCAACCCCAGAATCCTAGGAAAGGTAGTTCCCCACTCATGGAGCTACAATTCCCAGCACCTTCTATAGACCATGGTTCCCAAGATTTTGGAGGGGAGAAAAATGTGTTTTGAATGTGCTTTAAATGTATATTATGTACTCATCCAAAGTTATCTTTCTTTCTAATCTAAGAAGGCCTTCAGGATGTTATCCTGAGGCTGATATAGTAATGCCATCACCACAAAGAACTAGATAGAGGAAAGGCTGGAAGGGTCTGTTCCCTGCGCAGCATTTAATGGGGTTTGGCCAGGTCCCTTCAGAGATTGTCAAAAGCACCAGATTTTCTTCCTTGCCTAGTTCTGGACACCCACCAAAGACCCATGGCAGCTGCACCCGGTCAGCCCTGTCCTAGATACAGTCTTGGAGGCGTGTTTGGGGTGCTGCATCTGAGAATGTTAGTTGCTGAGGGTCTTGGGGGGTGGAGTGGGGGACACCACTGAGGTCAGGCCAATAATGGCAAAGCAAAT